CTGACTTGAGCGTCGGAGGGGTTTCCGCCGGATCAACCCCCGACTTAGTTCATGTGTTCTATGATCGCAGGTACCTCAGGATCATCAAGTTGTCAAGCTACTGATCTGCTTTGCTCTCCCAGCTCATTTTCTACACCACCCTAGGTGAGCTATATTTTAGCATCATCATTTTGGCGCCGTCTGTGGGAACGATGCAAACCAGATCATGTAGCCAACAAGATCCTCCTGAGGCGTCTGCTCGGAGAGAAAATGACACAGCTAATGACCTCCCACCTCGTGGAGGCTCTAGCTTGCCACCTCCTCCACGTCCCATGGATCCGCCTCGCGAGGTTCAGGTGATCCTCCCTCGGGACCCACCACTCGCCGATCCACCACTCCCTGGTCCTCGAATGGTTCAAATAACCGAGGAGGCCCTTCAACACTAGAAAGGGTTATCGACTCCCTGGGGGCTTACATCTGCCCCCAAAATATTTCGCTCGCCAAGGGTTATCGACTCCCTGGGGCTTACATCGCCCCCAAAATATTTCGTTCGCCAAGGGTTATCGACTCCCTGGGGGCTTACATCTGCCCCCAAAATATTTCGTTCGCCAAGGGTTATCGACTCCCTAGGGGTTCACAGGGCCCCCAAAACATTTCATTCGCCATGGGTCATCGACTCTCTGGGGGTCTACTTCCGCCCCCCTCGAACAGTTCAGATAACCGAAGAGGACCTTCAGCATACGATCGCCGAACCTTCAACAAGTTCAACTTCTACTTGCTCCTCTAATGGTTCAGATAACCGATAAGGACCTTCAGCGTATAATCGCGGAAGCTTCAACTTGTGCTACCACTGAAGTAGTGGCACCATACATCGTCATAGTAGGAGCCAACGCTCCTCCTCGTGAGGTCCCACTGGGCCCTCAACATAATCAATTTCTACTTACTTCTCGAACGGTTCAGATAACCGAAGAAGACCTTCAGCGTATGATCACGGAAGATTCAACTCGTGCTGCCACTGAATCAGTGGCACAATATATCGCCAAGGTTGGACATCTCACCCCATTGGTTCGTGATCGCCTCATCCTAAATGGGGGGCTATCCCATCCTAAAGTTGGGCATCTCATCTCAAGGGTGGTACATCCACTAACCTTTCAACCCCAAGGGGTTTCACATCCCATCAAGTGTTTCACGTCCCTACCTCAAAAACAAAAAAAAGGGGTCTGATGCGCACGCGCGAACCAATGGCACAACCGTGCGCATCTACCACAGACCATAGGTCTCGAGCGTCTCATCCTACAGTGGGCAGTTATCCCCATCCTAAGGTTGGGCATCACCCTTACCTTTCAACCCCAAGTGGGTTCACATCACATCTCAAGAGACGAGTATAATCTCCATACTCAAAAATTAGAACATCCCCAAGGGGGCGCACATCCCATCTCAAGGAACGAGGATAATCTCCCTACTCAAAAAATAGAACATCCCCAAGGGGGCGCACATCCCACCTCAAGAGACGAGTAGAATCTCCCTACTCAAAAAATAAAACATCCCCAAGGGGGTGCACATCTCATCTCAAGGAACGAGGATAATCTCCCTACTCAAAAAATAGAACATCCCCAAGGGGGTGCACATCCCATCTCAAGGAACGAGGATAATCTCCCTACTCAAAAAATAGAACATCCCCAAGGGGGTGAATATCAACCAAAAAAAAAAAAAAAAAAAAAAAAAGAGAAGAAAAAAGAAGAAGATGAAAAAACAGAAGAAAAAAGAAAAAGAAAAAAGAAGAAGATGAAAAAATAGAAGAAAAAAGAAGAAGATGAAAAAATAGAAGAAAAAAGAAGAAGATGAAAAAAGAGAAGAAGAAACAAGAAGAAAAAATACAAGAACAAGAAGAAGAAAAAAGAGAGTGAAAGAAGAATAATTAATTAGAAGAGGAAAGAAAGAAGAAAGAAGAAGAAGAAAAAAGAGAATAAAAAATAAAAAAAAGGGGAGAAAGCAGCCGAGCCGCGCGCGCGAGCCGAGCCAAGCCGCGCGCGCGAGCCGAGCCAAGCCGCGCGCGCGCGGCTCCATTAAAAAAAAAGGAAAGGAGGCGCGCGTGCACAGCACGCGCGCCACCAGCAGCAAAAAAAAACAAAAAAAAAAAAAAAATTCTCTCACACGCGCGCGCGCCTCCCAAGGCCACCTTGGAGCGCGCGCTCCCACCTAATTGGGCACAACTTTTGCTACTCTCCACCAAATTGCGCGTAGATTTCACCTCGCTTCACCAAATCGCGAGAGAATTTCAACGCGCTCCACCAAATTGCGCGAGCTCTTCAACGCACCTACCAAATTTCGTTCGCTATCAAATGGAAAATAAATAAAAAATTTATTTCTCCACGCCATGCCAACGAATAAAGAAACACTACAACACCGATCTACTCTCAACACGATCCGGTACCCTTTTCGACGTGACTCCCACATCGTCTCGAGAGTGGGGGGCTTGCGAGACAACTCTCATGAGGATCCAACTCGCTCAGTACTACCACCCGTTGCGAGGTAACTCCCACGAGGAGCCAACTCCCTCGGGTCTCAACACCAAAGCGAGACAACTCCCACGAGGAGACCACTCGCTCCATCCTACAACCCGTAGCGAGGCAACTCCCAAGAGGAGCCAACTCCCTCGGTACTACCAACCCGCAGCGAGACAACTCCCACGAGGAGACAACTCACTCGGATCTACAACCCCTTGCGAGGAAAATCCGACAAAGAGACCACTCGCTCCGTACTACGAACCCTCAGCGAGATAACTCCCACGAGGAGCAAACTCGCTCTGTCCTACATCCCGCAGCGAGACAACTCCCACGAGGAGCCAACTCGCTCGGTACTACGAACCCTCAGCGAGATAACTCGCACGAGGAGAGAAATCGCTTTGAGCGACATCAATCCGCACACTCGTCAGTCGCGCGTCATCCAATGATTCTACAACTTCGCTGCGAGACAACTCCCATGAGGAGACAACTCGCCCGAACTTCACTATATAATCGCAAGCTCAAGTTAGCACGATTACAACCCTAGAAACACTTAGAAATATTATGGGAATCTATATAGCCTGGCCAGCTTGATTACTCAAATTTATCTACTTGTTTTCGATGGGTCATTCATTAAAACGTGGCCACGGTCCAAACATACTTACGACCCACGAGGTCTAACAAAGGGCACGATCCCCATATAAAAATCTTGAGAGCCTGATCCCCTCCTCAAGTACATCACGCACAAGGCTATATGTAAACACATACAAGCAACGCGTCACAACATTGACAATGTCGAAAAATAACAACTCCCACGAGGAGAATACTAGCTCCGTGCTACTACATTATCGTGAAACAACTTCCACGAGGACGTAACTCGATCAACTCGATTACCCCAGAGAAAACTCCCACGAGGAGAATACTAGCTCCGTGCTACTACATTATCGTGAGACAACTTCCACGAGGACGTAACTCGATCAACTCGATTACCCCAGAGACAACTCCCACGAGGAGATTACTTGATCCGTGCTACTACATTATCGCGAGACAACTCCCGCGAGAAGATAACTCGATCAACATTATTACCCCGCGACAAGACAACTCCCACGAGGAGATAATTCGCTACTACATCGTCGCGGGACAAAACCGACGACTCAATTAACTTACATCGCGACAACCTTGTCGCGCTAAGCGCCAACGCGCATTCACGCCCCTCCGACACACGCTCCAACGCGTTTTCGCATACCATTAGGTCATACGCCAACAATCGACTTCTTCAATTTTTACTCTCGACACGATCTGAGACCCATCACAACATGGCCCCCACATCAACTCGAGAGTGGGGGGCTTAATGATATGCCTAATTGGGCCAACCCAATGGGCCTACAATTTGTTTACCTACTGGGCTACGAGCCCAATATCGAAGACTAATATCACCGAGGCCCAAACACCTTCAAGTAAGGCTTGGGCCCAACAAAGCAAACTCAACCCAATAAACGACATATAAATAGAGGTTTTACTCATTTTATTAAGGTACGTCCTATTAACTGAGCAATACAAAAACGCGTATTCTCTGGACTATTTCTAGGATCAGCACGTCTGACTTGAGCGTCGGAGGGGTTTCCGCCGGATCAACCCCCGGCTTAGTTCATGTGTTCTATGATCGCAGGTACCTCAGGATCATCAAGTTGTCAAGCTATTGATCTGCTTTGCTCTCCCAGCTCATTTTCTACACCACCCTAGGTGAGCTATATTTTAGCATCATCAGTTTTAGTATTAATTAACTAATTATAGTTGTAAATTGGCCTTAATTACTTTAGGTTATTCTCGTAATTTATCCTTGTTATATATACTTATTACTTAAAAAATGATTTTTTCGGTTTCCTTGTTCAACACCAGCAACGATTGCTTATAGGTGTGCGTGTATGAGACTGCATATAGATCTACGGTTCAAATAATTCACCGAGTGTAAATAACGAGGTGTAACGTCTCATTTCCCAAAAACGCAAAGTCAATACACGGGACGATTTCAACCATTAATTATACTTTTTCTAAAAAATATATACAAATTCTATTTAATTCCCACTTGCAAAGATAAAACAATGTATAGATGTCTCTATATATATATATATATATATATATATATATATATATATATATATATATATATATATCTTCTTCTCTCCACGGATCGGAATTATCCTTACAGCTACAACAATGACTGGATTTCATGGTGGCTTATGCTTCTTAGTTTTCTCTGTAATCCTCGTTTTCCTATTCCTTGCCATCCCCCTAGCCGTCAACTACAAATACTCACCCCCATACTGCTTCATTGAAGAATTCTATGTTCCCGCCCTCGATCTTTCCCAATTACACATACCTTCGAATAATAATAATAATAATAATAATCAACCCCTGTCTTTTCTTCGATCTCGCCTTCGGTGGCAAAGAATATGGGCACGCCATAAACTATATGGGCAAAGGATATTAACTTCACATTCTCGTACGGTGGGAAAGATTTTGGGGTATATTCGAAGAGGCAGTATGTGAGGATTGGAGCTGACGTGGAGGTTGATGGGTCCGGGATGAAGGTGAAGAAAAACCATATTTTGCTCAACTCGGCTGATGTTTAGTATTGTGTATTTATTGGTTTATGGATTTTGTACATGTTTGCACAAATTATATCATTATATGCCCTTGTTTTATTTTATTTTCATTTTTGATATGCCTAATTGGGCCGGCCCAATAAGTCCACACGAGCCCTATTCAGAAGAACACTACTACGAAAGTCAAATCACTTTCAAGGTTAGGGCCCAACAAATTAATATATTGTCTTGGCTGCTAAATTACTGTTTTAAACAGTAATTTAATTGTCTGAGACATAATATTAGTGTATTAATTAATTTTATCGTCTTGGCCTGCATTTTTGCTGTCTTCGACTCTAATATTACTGTCTCCGACTGTAATATTATTTTCTTTTGCAATAATATTACTGTTTGGATAGTAATATTAGTAATACTAGCATTTTTTCCCCGTGCGATGCACGGGATATTATTTTAAAAAAGAAAGAAATAATTAGTAAAATTAATAATTTAGTATTATTCATATTTTATGTAGCAGTGGTTTTTTTAAATCTTACATATTAAGATTTATAATACAAATATATAGATTAAGATTTAAAAAATCGTATTTCTATCTTTATCTCTTAAGATTTGAGTTATATTGATTAAAAATCGGAGATTGATAATTGTTAAAAAATATAGTTAGAAATTAGTACAGAAAAAAATATTAAAAATATAGTTAGAAATTATTACAGAAAAAAATATTAAAAATATATAATTACAGAAATACCATTAGGGTTTTCTAGGGTTGCCCAGCGTTTCTTTCTTTTATATATAAGATTACTGTTTGGGACAGTAATTTAGCAGCCAAGACAGTAATATTAATTAAAATATTTATTTATAAGAAAAAACAAAATTTCAATATTTCAAAAAAAAATCGAAAAGAAAAGTCAACGCCGGTTTACCGGCCGGAAAAAAATTAAAAAAAAAAGTCAACGCCGGAATATGGCCGAAAAAAAAATTCAGAAAAAAATTATTATCTGAAAAAAAAAAAATTCAAAAAATTATTAAAATGGGGGTTAATGTGATATATTTGTTTAAATCTAGGGTCAATGTATAATATTAAGGAAGTTAGAGCATAATGGATGGAATTGATAAGAATTATATTATGGAGGGTATTTTGGACTAAAGACATGTGAATGAATTTATTTGAAAGACTGTTTTTTTTTTTTTTTTTTTTTTGTGGACCAATGTGCATTTAAACCCTTGTCATGTCCCTTTTTGCCATTCGCCTTTCATATAATTTAATTGTCGCTTGTTTCTTGTTGAAGTGCACATCACCATCAATCTTATCCCTCATTTTTTTCTTAACATTGTTAGAACTTTTGGTATAGTTTTCTCATAACCCAACAGAAAATTGTTCAATACCATTGTTGTATTAAGAACTTTCGTTCAAGAAACATGCTCTATCATACATTACTAATGGTACAATGAATAATATATACGTAAAACCAAATATATATCTATTGAAGGTGATAATAAAAGTAATTTCATAATTTAATAAGTTATTAATTAATCTAAAAATTAATCATTATTAATTTATCCATAAGTTAATATTTTGCTAAATTAATAGAATTTTGATGGTACTAACTGTATTAATTTATAAAAGTTTAACTGTATATATAAAAATCACTGGTATATATTAAAGGGGCTATTCCAAATAAGCATATGGTAGGTAATTTATTCTAGTATAGAGCTACCCCTAAATCTTTTTTTATAAAAAAAGTCGAGACAAAGTCCAAAGATGTGTAACTAAATAAAATACACTGTCACACTTTAATGTACAATAATTTCATCCATTTAATCCCAATTTAACCAGAATTTGAAAAATTATTCAATTATGATTGTGACCTCTAACCTAATTTTGATTGTAGTTGCCATTGACCGCCGGTCTCCAAGATCGATTTTTTTTTCTTTTCAAAACGGTTCGTCCCTAAACAGTAGTATTACTCTGATTGACATTAATATTAACTATATTACTCTTTAAAATAATAATATTCCTATATTTCTATCTAGTACAATAATATTAGCACAACAAAATCACTATATTACATCATAAATTATTGTGTAATACAATAATATTATTATGTTCACCGGTCAATAAAAACAAATAAAGTAAAATGCTAAAAAGATTAATATTGTTTTTGTGGATTGTATTATGAATAATATTTTATCACAAGGGCATATTTCAGAAAATCGGTAGATAAACAAAAAATTAAAACAAACACTAACAAATATCCGCCAAGAACAAACACCAATGTTTGGAAGCGTTTTGAATCTTATTTTGATTTCATTTTGAGGAAATATGTTTTGGGGGAATAATTTGAGAATGAAAGTAATGTTTGTTTGTATTTTGGAAGGAGACAAAATACACTGTAGAAGTAAAATCATGTTTAAATGTGTTAGAAAAAAGTATTTTTGAAGAAAAAAATTGAAAGATGAAGTGATGTTTATTTGTTTTTTAGTGAAGACATTTTTTACTGTAGCAGTCACATCATTTTACTGTAGCAATCACATCATATCTGAAGGAGAGAGAAACTTTTGAAATTGTTTTGAGAAAATGATTTGAAAAGTGTAATAAATTTCATTTTGTTTTGGGGAAACAATGAAAACAAAATGGAAATGGTTCCAAACATTGCCAAAGTTTTGCGCAATCTCACTTCAGTTAACTTGAGTTACAGGTTACCAACCCTCGTTAGGAGAGTTGGTACCTAGCCTTGACCAATAGGGTAACGGTCTAGGGTTCGAGTCCCCCCCTCCCCTACTTTCCCTTGTAATGGACTTGAATTTACTAAAAAAAAAAAAAAAAAAAACAACTTGAGTTACAGATTCAGACATTTATAATCACGAAAAGAAAGAAACATTACATAATATAAAAAACACATAGGAGATGATGTTTAAAATAATATTGCATTGAGGATTTAGATATATTTTCTCAAGCAATCGAAATATTTCAGAAAGTCCAAAATTTTTGTATGAATAATTGACGTGTTTTAAACTAAGATCGTTAGTTTAATAGATCTACTAAGGCGTTTGTAAAAAAAAATGTAGTAATACTTAATAACTTTACAATAAACAAGATCAGACCGAGATGTTGCGGTTCGCCTATTTTAGACCAGGTTTACTGTATTTGGTCAAGTCGGTCTTTACATGAATAAGAAAACTTAGTGAAAAAACAAAGCCCTAACTAAACCACTAGTAGGTAGAAACTTGTAGCAAGCTGTAAAGATTTCTAAAAGCTCCCTAGAAACTTATTGATTTGATTTACTTTCTAAAATGTAACTACAATATGAATGAAATGCTCTATAAAGCCACTCTCGACCGTAGTATTATTAAATCAATCTCACCTTTGATTTTGGAGGTGGGGCATTAATTGTATATATATATATGAATATAATTTTATTTGTAAATCAACCAACCATGTAAATATATTAATTAGCAAAAGATAATATCATTAAAATTTATATTTGGTCATTTTTTAGTGGCCATAACAATTTGTTATGTTGTGTTAACTTTTAGTATTAATTTTATCATTTCCTTTTGTTTCCATATATAAGTAAATCCGATTACCCTCTCAGACAACTCTTGATAATTATGTTTTTCTAGAGAAACAAAATCCCAACTTATTTCTCATATTCTGTGCGTGTATCTCCATGAAATTGTAGATGTCGGTTGTTTAAATTCTTTTGGATTCATCCAATTGAGTTTCTCAAACCCCAATTTTTTCATGTTTTTTTATGAATTTTAAATTAGTCAAGAATCCACTTTAATTAGAAAAACTATAATTATTTAAAAGAAATATTTTGTTATTTTTTAAACGGCCACGAAAATTCGTTGTGGTATGTTAGTTTAACTACTAATTCATGTTAAGAATGTGATCATAGACTAACTTAATATTAACAAGTGAAAAATTACTTAATAAAATAAAAATAATTATTTTAAAGTAATTATTCGTTGGTAGTATTGTATTTTTTTTTTCGGGTTTCATTTTTTCAGTTTTATCGATAGCTATAAATTTGTAATTATAAAAAATATTAGCAAGAAAATGTAATTTTGTTCCTTGGTAATTATAATACTATGCTACCGTCAATAAATAAATAATTGACATATTATTAAGAAATATATTTGATTTTTATTTAAATATTTTAAAATTAAAATATGCATACAATAAAAATATAACTTATTATTAATAATATTATTTTTTTGTAAATAACTAATGATAGAGCGGGTTCGGATTTTAAATTAAGTATTTATGGGTTAGATCTTCAATACTATCAAATTTTATAAAAATATAAGTGTATATTTATTCATTCCCTGATGGTTGTTGGGCATGGGTAAAACCATGGAGAGAGGAAGGAATGTCTATTCCATATTATTGGGAATAGCCATTAGCCATTGCCATGGAAATAGTTAATCCCAATGTTGAACAATGTTGAAACATACCAAACATGTGTTTTGGAATGAGATTCGGAATCCCATTCCATTCATGGCTCATTCATGCATACCAATCATGTCGTTAAGATCTACACTACCCCAGTCCTGCCGCTACCATTGTCGACGCTAAGGAGCAATTGGTTTGTTAATTTTGTCAATTCAATCCGATGGAATACGAAAAGACAAGGGTTAATATTATACGAGTTAGTACTAGTCATGTTTTGGGACAAATCGAGGGCGGTAACATAGAGTTGTTGGATGTAGAAGCGTGAGTCTTTAATTTGAAGTTGCGATTGAGGACGGCGATTAGGGTATAGAAAAATAGAAATGCATGCAGAGGTTATGATAAGGATGTATAAGCATAAAGCCTTGGATGCAGTCATTGTTGGAGCTACACTAAAGAGAAGATGTATACATTAATGCATGTGTACATACACTATGGTGTTATCTTTAATTTCCAAAGGGGAATATAGAGTAATAATTACAGTTTTAGCCCCTATACTTACCATCTAAAACAATTTTCATCATCAAATATTTTCGGCCACAATTTTTGTCCTAAAACTTACCACTTTGGACAA